ATATAATAGGAGACCTTCCTCGAAAGAATCAAAAAGTTACAAAAATAGGTAACGTCTCCCTATCGTGGACGCTGAGTTCTAAACGATGTCGCTTTTGTCCTCACGTCCGAGTCGTACCCGCTACGTTGGTCGGCGTACACTCATTGGGCGTACCCACTGGCGTAGAGATACTGAGGGTCAAATTTGACCCTATACATCATTGATATCTTGGAACAGTAAAAAACAAACATCAGTTGCGTTATCTACCACTGAAGCTGAATACATCACTATTGGACAATGCTGTGCACAGCTACTATGGATGTCCCATCAACTTGGTGACTATGAACTTTCTTTTAAACCTATACAAATTTTCTATGATAATTCTAGTGCTATTTGTCTCTCTAAAAATCCTGTTCATCATTCTAGGGCAAAGCATATAAATATTAAACATCACTTCATTAGAGATCATGTTCTTAACGGAAACATAGAAATAACTTTTGTTGGAACAACTGATCAACTAGCGGATATCTTTACCAAGCCTTTGTTAGAAGAAAAATTTTGTTCATTAAGAAAACTCCTTGGCATTATTTGCATTAATAGTTAAATATAGGACCTATGTGGTACTTTTTTAATTTTGTATATAAAATAGGCCATATATGTTTCTTTTACTCTTTAATTACGCCTCCAGTTTTCCCCTCCTTTCTCTTTCTCTTTTCACATCAGTCACATAGTTCAGAGAAGGAAAACCAATCATCGCGACTGATCACTGACGCCTTTTCATTTTCTGTACTCAACCGTCAGAAAACCCCTTTTTATGTTGTCTTCTTATTTCAATCCCCATTGTCTCTATCGCCTTCATACCCCTCTCTGAAATCGTGCTAAACCACCAATCTCCTACAATGGCTAAACAATCCAAAAATCCCTCTGCCTCCACTAGAAAGAGCACTCGCTTCAAGGGAAAACCCTCTTCTCAGCCCCCCTGAACAGGTAGACCTAGGGTCCGATCACTCTGAGGGGTTTGCCTCTTCTCGGGCGGATTTCTCTGATCATTCTCAACCCTTAGGCGAAAAAGCCCTGGGTAAAAGACCCATGGAAGAACCCCCTGTCTCCTCCACTCCAAAGAAATCAAAAATTGACCTTTCCAGTTCTCTTGAGCCGGAACTCAATTTCTGGGATTCTCCTAATGGGGACTTCTTTCTTGCCCTAAAAGACAAGCATATTGCTCATGGGAGGGCAAACTTGATGACACGGAAGCCCTAAATTGTAAGGTAAAGGACCTTTTCATTTTTCAGGGGTGGTCCAAGTTATTTTCTGTTCCTTCGCCTAAAGTCTATGAACCCTTAGTGAGAATGTTCTATGCAAATCTTCGTTCTAGTATGTCTGATAAGTTGGAGACCTTAGTACTAGGAAAACATATTGTTCTTGACTGTTCCGTGTTTGATTCGATTTTTCAGTGCAAGTGTTCTGGTTTCCCTCTGCTCTTTAAAAATTCCCGGCTCGATGATTTTGAAATTTCTTTTGATCAAGCCAAAAAATGTATTGTTGAGTGTCCATCTGAGTCCCTTCCAAACCAGCTTGGCCCTAGTGATGTTAGTTTTGAAACTCGTATTCTATCCCACATTGTTGCAACTATTCTGCTTCCTCGTACTGGCTCCTTTTCCACATTCTCTCTACGAGACACTTTTCTGGTCTATTGCCTTGTGACCAAACTCAAAATCAAACTGTCCTCCCGGGTCATCAATTTCATGATTGAAAGTGCAGAAGATCCCACTAGTCTACCCTATAGAATGGCCATCACCCACATTCTGGAGGCTCACAATATTTCCATCTCTGCGTACTCCTTTACCACTGTTACAAAATCATACAACTCCAGAGCCTTTGCAAGTATGGGGATATGTGTGTGTGAAGGGCTCATGGGTAAAGAAACAAGAATGTGATGTCAAGACTGCTCATACAGACTCCAAGCCCAAACCTTCTGCTTCCCACCCTAGCCTCAGTGACTCTGACCTTGCTGAGAAAATTAGCTCCATTGGGAGTCAGCTCTCTACAATCAAGGATCTTCTCATTGCCACCCAGTCCACTGTTGGCGCCATTCATGATATCTCCAAGGAAACAGGGTCTGATGTCTCCAAGATAAGTGTTGCAGTTCTTAGAGTAAGGGAAAACGTTGTCAAGGCTTTCAAGGAGGTTCATGACAGGCTTAATGGAATGAGTGTCTCAGCCAACGCCAGCTTTGCTCGACTAAAGGAGGCCGTCTGCAACACTCTTACCTATTTTCTGCGTCGTTAGTGTGAAAGATTAAGACAATTATTTTTTTGATGTGCTGTTTTTGGACTGCGATGTCAGTCGGTGGATATTTTTTTGTTTTTGTTATGTTCTAACTCTACCTGAACATTCTGCTATGGATCATGTTTGTGCATGTTGTTTTGTTATTCCCTCTTTGCTGATGTCAAAAAGGGGGAGAAAGGATATATGTATTCTGTGCAGGTTCTGCTCCTATTGAGGGGGAGCAAGTTTTCAGGTTCTGCTCCTATTGAGGGGGAGCAAGTTTTCCTGAAGAAGTCGACTACATGCGCCTCCAGCTAACTGCTCGTATTGAGGGGGATCAAACTACAGGGAAGTCAACTGATGTTTATACATATATTATTTTGTCATAATCAAAAAGAGGGGGAGATTGTTAGATCAAATTTTAATGTTGAAAATAATATATTTGCTCTTTGTATAGGAACTCTTGGGTAGCTGTCAAGATTGGCGAAATCAATCAGAAGGAAAGGAGGCGCGATTAAAGGAAGAAGCAATCAATCATGAAGATACTGACGAGATCAATCAAGGCTTAACTAAAGGAAACAAATAAATCAAGATCTCGCTGAATATTCAATCAAGTGTCTAATTATAGAGAATCAAAATTTTGGGTCGTTGCAGAACATCCTTATTCTTGGAAAGAATCAATCTCTTTCCAAGGATCAAATCTCTTGGGTTGGCAAATCTTTCCAGAATTCAAGCCTCTCTCAAAGTATTTAAACCTGTAATCACACCTTAGCAAAATATATTTTGATCGAACCAAATACCCTCTCTTTGTTCTACTACAAACAAACATTGTAGCTCTCTAAGACCTGCTGTGTAACAAGTTAGAGAAAAAAAGAGAGAACAACACTGGTGAGGCATTGTATCAAAATAGACGAGTGATATAGGAACTGAGCTATCACATCATTCTCCTTGTACTCGAAGAAACTCATTCACTAAAGAGAACTCCCTTGCAACCCAAGGGGACTGGATTAGGATTCACATTGAATCTGAACCAGTATAAAAATTCTGGTGTCTTTAATTCCTGCATCTAATTTTAGCATCTTATATTCTGTTGTTACTACTGCTAGTCCATTACAACTAGTCAACTAATTGAAAAACTAGTTAACTAACAGCGATTAAGTTTAAAAAATAAATAATTCACCCCCCTCTTGTACTTTCACTAATTAATAATTGCTCAAAAGTTCATAATATAACTATTAGAGTAATTACCCAACCCAATTTGAAAGATTCCTAAAATCAACCTCCCGGGCCCACGTGCCCGGATTTTATTTTTTTTAAAATAATTATTACCCACAACCTCACAAACACAAATATATAATTTTTACCCAATTCCATAATCATTTTTGTGGTCTAATCTCATTTTTATCAAAATCTAGGTTTTTCAAAACCTCCTAAAATTTCCACATTTTTACCTATTAAAATCTACCCATAATATATGTATTTAACTTACATTTTATAGAAATCACTTACTTTCAGTAGCTAGGTGAAAACTCCTCTCCAAGAAGCTCCAAATTCGGCCAAGGGAAAAGAAAATGAGAGAAAATGGCCTAAGTCCCGACTTTAGCAGATGAGCCTTCTTTGTGATAGCGAAAAGGGCCTCAAGATCGTGAAGGCAAAGCATGCCCAGGCTCTGAAACCCTTCTTCGCGAACGCGACAGGGTCCTCGCGATCGCGATGGCTAGACCAGCCCAAGCATCCCGAACGCGACCTGCTCTGCGTGACCGCGAAGGGGAATGACCCACAGACCCCTGGCCCCCTAACCCTTCTACGCGAACACGACGTGGCCATCCCGAACGCGAAGGCCACAAGTCCTGAAGCTTCACGAATGCGGCTTCTTGATCGTGAACGCGTAGGGTAAAATTGCCCAGCCCCAAATTCCTTATACGCGAACGCGACACAAACCTCGCGTTCGCGAAGAAGAAAACCAGAACCAGCACATCAACAGTTTTGGACTTTGCTATGGGCGGTCCGAAACACACCCGAGCCACCCAGGACCCTGTCCAACTGCACCAACAAGTCCATAAACATAATACGGACCTGCTCGAACCCTCGGAACGCGTAAAACAACATCGAACTAAGAATCGCACCCCAAAACCAAATTGAATCAACTTATGAACTTCAAACTTCTCAACTAGCTCTGAACGCGCCAAATCATACTTAGACTACTCGAAATGATACCAAATTTTGCGTACAAGTTATAAATTACCATACGGGACTATTCCCGAGCTCAGAATCCCCAACGGACCTCGATAACACTAAAGTCTACTCCAACCCAAATTTGAAGAACTAGAAAACCTTCAATGAACTAACTTTCGACATTAAGCGCCGAAATGCTCCCGGATTACCCGAAACCCAATCCGAACACACGCTCAAATCCACAATCATCATACGAACCTATTGGAACCATCAAATCCCGGTTCCAAGTTCGTTTACTCAAAAAGTTGACTCAAGTCAAACTTGGCCATCTTAGGCCACTATTAAAGAACTAAATGTTCCGATTTCAATCCGAACCCTTCCAAACCCAAACCAACCATTCCCGCAAGTTATAAAACAGAGTAAAAGCACATACGGAAAATCTTAATTAGGGGAACGGTGACCTAAAAAGCAAAACGATCAATCAGATCGTTACACTTAAACATCCCTAAAACTAGCTCTGAAACCATAAAGATTTTGACGGGTATCATGTGTACTGAAATGCAACTGCAAGCAAAGAGTAAATTGCTTATATAAAAGCTAAATAACGTTCAAATACTTGTAATTTACATGGAATTAATGGACCATCAAATTTTCACAAGATGATTGTCGAATAATCACACAGAAACAGACTTACACTCTCGTAACTAATCCTCAGACGATTAAAACAGAGCAAACTTTCAAACACTACCGATTCAATAACAGAGTGACTTTCTGATGTTACTATATACAAGTGAGACCTAAATATTACTCCTATCTCACAAAAACTAACACCAACTCTACAAGAAAAATTCACCTCCGATTAATTAGGATTAGCCTGTGAAAAATGAGATATCTTGATTGTCATAGTAATAATCAGTCATCCATAGTGAATCTGGGCAATAATCCCATAAGGGTGATGCCATTACTGGTAACTTATTCATCGTTTGATCAGTATCTTCTGATGATTGAACATCTTTCCAGATATCATCTATGGAATAGACCATCATATTTTTCTCCCCTAATTCATGATCATATACTTTATTTTCTCCAGCAGCTAATTGCAAGTGCTCGAGCACACCGTTAGAATTTCTCTCGTTTTGTTCATTGACTGGCATGGAGTCCACAGTAGGACTGTTGGCAGAGGAATTAGACGAAGAGTTGGAAAAGGACGAAGATGGAGAAATAGAAGCCTTATTCTTATTCCTCTGATCTTGAGCCTGTTTCCTCATGTGGGTTCTCCAATAATTCTTGATTTCGTTATCAGTTCGCCCCGGCAATTTCCCAGCAATTTTCGACCATCTGCACTTGAAGTGTGGGTGTTAAATTTAGGTGAATTAAAATGCCTAAATTGACCATTCAATAAAAACATATGTTATGAGCAAAAACACCTAGATTTGAGAAGATTATATTTTTAATGAGCAAACTTAAGATTATACTAGTATGAAAATAAAAGGAGAGTAGCAAGAATTCTTGATATGAGAAAAGAATTAAGTTGAAAATATAGTATTTATTACCTATTTCCATATTTGGAGTGGAGTTGAAGAACAAGGTGTTCTTCTTGAGGGGTCATCTTGCCACGTTTGAGAGCAGGATTCAAGTAATTAACCCAGCGTAATCTGCAACTCTTTCCAGTTCTTTTCAAACCTATAAATAATAAGAACAAGAAAAGGAATGCAGAAGAAGTGGTTATTAAACTTGATCCTTTAAATTTAATATGCCAATATTTTGCCCAAAACTAGCTAAGCCTATATACCTATTTTTATTTTTGTCTCCCTCCAAAACCTTCAAACCTGAAACTTTCGCCAGAAAATCCCAGCGACGATCACCAAACATCTTCACATAAAATACTAGCTGAACATCTTCTTGTTCAGTCCATGGACCTTTTCTTATTATTTCCTCTTGTACCATTTTATCTTTTATTTCTATCTCACTAGGTTTCCTTTCTTGGTTGATAATGAACTACTGATACACGTACACCATTGATATTTATACTTGCCTAAAGGGATTTGTCCTAATTATCTAATTTGTTTTATTATTGTGTGTATGAACAAGTGGTGTGAGAGTGCTCATCTAGTGTTGGCATATGATGCAAGCCATTAACAGAAAAGACGCAAGTGATGATAAAATGAGATAAGAGGTTGATATGTTTGATGTTGATGTGACTTTTATAACTCACTGTCCGTTTCACAGTGCATTTGCTCTTGGAATTTCTCTTTTATTTCAATTTTCATCTCCATATCTAGGAAACTGTAGCAAGTAAATAAACGTGGCCAGTCCACACACTGTATGTACTCGCGATTGCTTTTTTTGAAAAATTAGAAACTTATAGAGGTAAATTCCCTGTCAAATAGTAAGGTGTTACATTCTTAGTTATTGCAAGCCTCTTTAGGGGTCGTTTGGTACAATGTTCTTATGGGTGGGATAAGTCATGGAGGGGCGAGTTTAGGGGTAGAAGGGGGTTTACTCCAATCATCTTTGTCGAAAAATTACACTGTATATACAAAGCAAAATCTGATGCTTACCTCTATATATTATGTTTTGAATCCTCTTGACACGACCCAAAAGCATAACTTGGTGCTCAAGGGAATTCAAAACTTTTGTAAGGTAATTGGTTCAATTCCCACTAGCTACAATCTTTTTTAACTTTTTTCTTTTTTTAACCCCCTTAGCGAAAATCCTACCTCCGCCACTGATGTCATAGGATTAGTTATCCCATCTTTTATATGAGATAATTAATCCCACCATTTTAGTGTAAAAGTTATTCTGGAGATTAGCTAATATCTGACAAAATCTGAGTAGAGATCTAGACTAAATCACAATTGCATGCAATGAAGAAGAAGAACATAGCTGAAGGAAGAAGAGAAATGAAGAAGAAGATGAATTCTGTTATTCACCAAAAACTAAATCAGCTAGTGCAGAATATCTGCTTTTATACAAATCCCCTCACACGAGTCACGTGTGTGATAAGGGTAAAAAGACTAAAATACCCCTGTTAACTAACATAACTACCAAGTCTTTAATACCCCCCCCCCCTCAAGCTGGAGGGTGGAAGACATCCAACACTCCAAGCTTGGAGACTAATGAGTGATGTTAAGCTGTAGATAGACCTTTGGTGAGCAAGTCTGCAAGTTGCAATGCAGAACTTATATGGTGTGGTATGAGGAGCCCAGATTTGATTTTCTATCTGACAAAGTGACAATCTATTTCTATGTGCTTGGTCCGTTCATGGAAGATAGGATTCTCAGCAATTTGAATGGTTGCGTTGCGTCACAAAACAGTTAGACAGGTTTAGAAATTAGTATCTCCAATTCTTCTAGAAGTCCTGATAACGAAGCAACTTCCGCTATCACAGCTGTCATACTTCTATATTCTGCTTCTGCTGAGCTCCTACTAATTATTTGTTACTTTTTTTTTTATTTCCATGAGATTAAGGAGCTCCCTAACTTGACAATATAACCTGTCACTGACCTTCTAGTAAGAGGACAGGCAGCCCAGTCTGCATCACATTAGGCAGTTAATTTGTCAACTGGCCTTGCATGTAGAAGAACTCCTAGTCCTGGTGCTCCTTTGATGTACTTAACCACTCTTAAAGTTGTATCCATGTGAGATTGTTTTGGACTTTGCATAAACTGGCTCAATGTTTGTACTGCAAAGCTAATGTCAGGTCGTGTGATTGTCAAATATAAGAGCTTCCCAATTAGCTTCTGGTATGCAGCAATGTCCTTCAAATCTGGATCTCCCAGCTTTCCCACATGAGCATCATATTCTACTGTGGTGAGCTTTTGATTCATCTCTAGAGGTGTTGAAACAGGTTTAGACCCACTCAAACCAACACTTGAAATCAATTCAAGTGCATATTTTCTTTGATTCAGTAGAATGCCCTTTTGTTATCTAAGGACCTCAATACCAAGGAAGTATCTTAGTTCACCCAAACCCTTCACTTTGAACTAAATTTTTAATGTCTCCTTAGCATCATCAACTAGTTTAGGACTGCTGTCAGTGATCAGTAGGTCATCCATATAAACAAGTATGATGACCAAATCTGAACCCTGCCTTTTCCTGAACAAGGAATCATAATTACTATGCAGATAGCCATGTGTAACCAATGCATCTGTCAAGTTAATGTTCCATTGTCTTGATGCCTGTTTTCACCCATAGAGTGACTTTAGTAGCCTGTAAACTTTCTTATCCCCCTATTTGTTAAAGCATTGTGGTAATCCCATGTACACTTCTTCATACAAGTCCCCTTGTAGAAAGGCATTATTCACATCCATTTGATGCAAATTCCATCCTTTTCGTACAGCAATGCTAATGATGGTTCTAACAGTTACTCTCTTTGCTATTAGGGAGAATGTCTCATGGTAGTCTAATCCCTCTTTCTGATTGTAGCCTTTAGCCACTAATCTGGCCTTGAATCTTTCCACCTCTCCTTTTGCTTTATGTTTTATCTTATAAACCCATTTTGATCCAATAGCCTGCTTTCCTGGTGGTAGATCAACCAGCTCCCATGTGTTATTTTCTTCTAATGCATTTATCTCTTGCTACAGTGCCTCAATCCACTTGCTATCTTGGGCAGCTTCCTTAAAAGAACTAAGCTCAATGTGTGATAAGAAAGCCTTCAAATATGACTGATATCCTGCAGTAAGGTTAGCATATGAGAGTCCTTGAGAAATGGCTATTGGCTATTTCTTGTGAATTTCCTTGGTGTCACACAATCTTTCAGCCATATAGGTGGTCTAGAGATCCTTCCTGATTTTCTAACATCCACTGCATCTTCTTCGGGTGAAATGCCTTCAGCTTCTTCAACTGTATCTGTAGCTAAAAGATCTGAATTCATGCTGATGTCTGCCTCTTCCTGATTCAGTGGTAGTAATTGATCAATGCTGTGTGCACCCAATTCTTCATGTAAATGCCCTTGTGGTTTTGTGTGTGTGATATTTGGAGATATATCTTCATCTTGTGCAGGGATATTAGGAGAATGAGACTGAGAAGTATTGGGATTGGAGGATATTTCAATAGGTGTTAGCTCAGGACGAACTTGTGGGAATATGTTATCTAAGTCTAATGTCATTCCTTTGAAAGGAAACACTTGTTCTCTGAAAATAACATCTCTGCTCACTAGAAATGTTCTGTTCTCCAAATCATATAATCTGTAACCCTTTTGAGTTTCTGAATATCCTATCAATACAACTCTCCTAGCTCTTGGCAAATTTGTCTCCTCTAGGTAGAGTGCTTGCAAAACATAAACATCCAAAAACCTTCAGATGCTCAATGCTTGTTGTCTTCTTATAGAGGACCTCATAAGGTGATTTCCCTGATGGAACAGAGGTTGGCCATTTGTTTATCAAGTAAATTGTTGTCTTAACACAGTCACCCCAGAATCTATTTGGTAAAAAGCTCTAAAATTTTAATGCTCTACCTACTTCCAGTACATGCCTGTGTTTTCTCTCCACCACCCCATTTTGTTGGGGTGTGTATGGACAACTACTTTGATGCACTATGCCTAATGAACTCAGTAACTCATTACACTTTGAATTAAAGAATTCAGTACCATTGTCTGATCTTAATCTTTTTACATTCAAGCCAAATTGATTTTGCACCATAGTAAAGAAGTCCTTCAAGACAAAAAATACTTCACACTTTGACTGCAACAAACATATCCAAGTATATCTGCTAAAATCATCAACCAGTGTTACAAAGTAATATTTTTTGTCATATGTTGGTATCCTGTGAGGACCCCAAACATCTACATGCACTAGTTGATAAATCTATTCTGTTTTACTGCTACTAAGTTGGAAAGGAAGTCTATTCTGCTTAGCCAAAGGACATACTTCACAACAGTGTTGTGTCTTGACATCTATCTTATTCTTTAGTAGATGAATATGTTGCATTGCAACAATTGAAGGATGACCTAATCTGAGGTGCCCTAGTGCTGAATCTTCATGTACTTGCATAATACTTCCTACTATAGCTGGGAATTCCTTATTGATCTCTTTCTTCAACAGATACAAACCATTGTGTTCTTTACCAATCCCCAGAACCTTCCCACTGTAGAGACCCTGAAACATACAGAAATGAGGCAAAAATGCAGCACAACATGACAACTCCTTAGTCAGTTTAGACACTGACATTAGATTGAATTTAAAGTCAGGAACATGTAGTACATCTCTCAGTGTCAATTCTTCTAATATCTTCACATTTCCTGTATGTGCTACATGACATTTCCCTCCTGTAGGAACTTGCACAATACTATTATTCTGGTTTTCAATCTTTCTTACATTGTCTAGTACTTCCTTATAAGGTGTAACATGACGTGAGGCACTAGTGTCTATTATCCAATCATAGTTAAAGTCTTGGACAAAAAAGAAGTTATACCTGTCATTAAGGTATGACATTCACCTAGATCAGGATCTGGCTTGTTTATGAGGCTCAACAGTTGTTTGTATTGATCTTCTGTGAAGAAATGCCCCCGCATCTGAGAAGTACTGTCAGAACTTCCTCCTTCTCCTGTTGATACATTAGCATATCCTTTCAATCCAATGTTTTGAGGCTTCTTCTTGCTTTTAAAATCTGATGGATAGCCTATGATCTTATAGCAGTTCTCCTTCAAATGACCTTTGTAACCACAGTAATCACATATGAGACCTGGTTTCCTTGTAACCTTGAAACCCTGTCCCCTTCCAGCTAGCATAGTTAAAGGTTCCTTGTCTGAATTAGCTACACTAAATGTTCATTGACTCTCTTCTTGAACTGTCAGTGCATATACTTGATTCACAGTTAATACAGGTGTTTTCAGAAGAATCAGACTTTTCACATGACTGTAACTTTCATTCAAGCGAACAAGGAATTGTAACAAGCGTAAATTTTTGAACTGATCTAGAAAAGGTCTAATTTCCTCATAATCACACCCTGTTCTTAGTACCATTAGATCCATTTCATCCTACAAATCCTTCATTT